ATAAGTTGTTAGGTTCGAATAGTCTGAACAGATTACATAATAATAAAACCTTGTTTTGATGAATGCTGGAAATGAACTCTTTATGAAGGAATAAAACTGTAAACACTAAGTCAACACAAAAATAAAACAAAATTTTGCAGAATATAGATTAATTATATGACTTTCACAGCTACTGATCCTCAATCTTTTGTCTTACATAAGTAAATAATGTCATTCTCCCTGCTTTGGGTTATGTTTTTTGCCTGTATAAATAATATAAATGGAGGAGCTATTATGAAATGGCAGATGCTTTATCTTCTGCTAAGTTTAATTAATTAGAATAAGCATTTCCCAATAAAAGAAGAAAAACTGCTGACAGATTTCCTCTAAGACAAATCAAAGGGGTCAACTTTAACACCCCAAATTTTTGTTTGCACTATGAATATAATATAATAACATAAATCTCAGCACTCATGTGTTGAATATTACGCACGTCCACCATACTGTAAAGCCATTTTTAGCGTATTTGGTGTTATTATTACACTGCCTCACTATTTATTGTATCGTAATGATTGATAAATCACATGACTAAAGCGTATAAGCAAATATACAATAAAGGCACATAAATCTGTCGAAGTCAGAGTCCTAAACAGCCTCGTTCTGGCTCGGTTCTTACCGGACAGCTCGTCTGGTTCTAAGCCGCTCTCGGTGTCCAGACCGCAGGTCACGAAATAATCCGCGAAGCGGCAGGAGCTCGAGCTGAATCCGGTGCTCATTTTGAGACGGCTCCGCTTGTGCTCTTCTGTGTGTGGGTCTAGAGGAGCGCATAGTACGAGCTCTCTGGATCACTCTGCGCAGCCATAGCGGACCAAGGCAGGAGCCCCGAGCACCAGTCGCATTGTGGCCTCCTCCGTTAACGTTACAGCAGCTCTCGGTCCTCGGCGCTCGCTCCTGCGCATGCGCACTGCTCTGCTCGGGATGACGTTATGCGCTGAGCCCCGGAGCATCATCGAGCGCGAGGACACCGAACCAAAGCCGACGCATCACACTTCCGCTGCGAATACATCATCGCTTCTTTAACAGCAAGGAAAGTCAAGTCGCATATTAAGTCGTCAACCAAGAATTAACTTTAAATAATTGCATTAGTGTGCAGTGTTAAGAACTTACCGTAAAAAAAATTGTAGCAGCAAGACAATATATGTTGTTTGATGTGGCCCTCTGGTGGTGCGTTTGGAAATGTAATGGTTATGATGTTTTCCTTCTGGATAAAAATTGGATGAGCCTTGGATTTGCCAACACAAGTAATCAATTAACTTAAGTTCTAAATATAAATAGATTATAAATTATGAATTATGAATAAAAAAAACTTCAATACTGACTAGTTTGGTAAAACAAAGATACTCTCAGATCATCTATCATCTTTTTCAAAACTCTAAAATGAAAAAAAGTTTGGTATGATGGTAATGACAGCAGTATTGGGGACAGCAATTATTTGTCACTTTTGCAATTATTTTTCTCATATTGTATATATGAATGCCAAATGAATTAAAATGTGATTTTGAAGTTGTTTTGCTTTTGATATATCCAATATTTATTCAGCCAACTATTTTTTCCAACACTCATTTGAGCTCTTACTTTTCAACCGTTTTCCTCTTTACAAAAAGTTTACATTTATTACCCACCGAAGTGGTGAGATATCAACAAATATGAATGCCATATTTAACCAAAACTTTTCTTGGTTGTTTCTTTTAAAGCAGCCTTCATTTCAAGATAATGTTATAAAAAGAAGTGCGTACACACACTGTAATTCAGTTAAAATGAATAGGAGGCAAATTCAAAAGAGGCAGATGTTACTCATGTATTTAATCATGTCATCATAAATATATTATGTTCCAAGAAGATGGACAGACGTAAATGAATAGATTTTAAAAATACAGGACATGACAATACATTGTCAATTAAATCTTGTAATACTGCAATCAGTAACCTTAATTTATTGATAGAGTTCTATAAAAATATGCCAGAGAAAAATCAGGATGAGTACAACTTTATAAATTATAAATGGGTCAGAGAGAGTACAGTATATCAACACACTACTCCTCATCATAAAGAGTAAGCAGAGGCTTGAAACTGTTGCAGAACAACCGCATAACTCCGTCACATCCGCTCTCTCTGTTTAGTGCCATCCATGTTACATCAAGAGCTGCTGGGAACATTTACAGATGACAAAAACTAAACGTTAGGTTTGACATTCAAATAAAAACTGCAGATATAAATTAATGCAACATGAGGGAACAACTCAAATGAGGTAACAGGGTAATGAAATCTGGAATAAGAACCGTCCCTCATCACCCTTCCACTTAAGAGAAATTTCAGTGCAAATGGTTTGTTTATTAATCCCCTTTGCACATATTGTTGATTCCGTTTCCTTTCCAGTCAGGAAACGAGTATATTGAAGGTTTAAAAACTATTTTTCAGGTATTCAGAAAAAAACAGGAAACGGGTATTGTAGGTATTATACAAAATATAAGACATTTTTTAAGACTGATTTATTTTACTGAAAGGCCATTTTAACTGCAGAGAGTTTAAAGGGTTAGTTCACCCAAAAATGAAAATTAGCCCATAAATGACTCACCCTCAAGTCATCCTAGGTGTATATGACTTTCTTCTTTCAGACGAATCCAGTCGGAGTTATATTAAAAATTGTCTTTGATCTTTCAAGCTGTTTCATGGCACTCAGCGGGTGTTGCATGCATCCGTCCTAAAGCACTTAATTAAAATGTGCCCATCCATAAAAATTTTTTTTTTTTAAAAAGTCTCACACGGCGCCGGTGAGTCTCGTGAAAACCAACGTTTGTTAACAGGAGCAAAGGAAGCAAAGTTTCCTTACTTTAGCAAAGGAAAACCAGTCTCCTCTTGGCTTATATCGAAATCCTCCGACATTCTTCTTTACAAATCCTTGTTTTGTACTTCTAATTAGTGACCGTTGTTTTGTTCTCTCCCCTGCGCTTCCGCGTTCGTCACTTCTGAGCGGCAAGCTACATTAAAGTGATTATTACGTTTTGAATATGGATATTTTTCTTACAAAAACGCATCGATTCGCTACAAAAGGCCTTTGTTCACCCCCCGGAGCCGTGTGAGACACTTTTTTATGGATGGGCGTTTTTTATTTAACTGCTTTTGGACTGATGCATGTAACACCCGCTGAGTGCAATGAAACAGCTTGAAAGATAAAAAACCATTTTTAATATAACTCTGACTGGATTCGTCTGAAAGAAGAAAGTCATATACAACTAGGATGACTTGAGGGTGAGTAATTTATGGGCTAATTTTCATTTTTGGGTGAACTAACCCTTTAAGTTCTGCCAAATAAATTAATAATTCACCCAAAAATGAAAATTACTTACCCTCAGGCCATCCAAGATACAGATGAGTTTGTTTCTTCACCGGAACAGATTTGGAGAAATTTAGCATCACTTGTTCACCAATGGATCCTCTGCAGTGAATGGGTGCCGTCAGAATGAGATAAAAAACATTACGATAATCCACAAGTAATCCACACGATTACAGTCCAATGGTGGACTTACAAACTTACAAACACACTGCTTTTCACTTCACAAGACATTAATTGATGGACTAGAGTGGTATGGATTATTGTGATGTTTTTATCAGCTGTTTGGACTCTCATTCTGACGGCACCCATTCACTGCAGAGGAACCATTGCTGAGCAAGAGAAGTAATGCTACATTTCTCCAAATCTGTTCTGATGAACAAACTAATCTACATCTTGGATGGCCTGAGGATGAGTACATTTTCAGCAA